TGTGTTCTCTAATTCAGTGACACCTGTAGACTTCTCCTCTTCCCTGATCCTGTTCCTTCCCACAGCTGAGACTTGACAGATCAGAGAGTAGTTTGGCTAAGGTGACTCCTCCCTTATACTTCCGGTTTACACGTCCCTTTGATGTCTTCATCAAATTTGAACTCCATTTGGGTGATGTGTTGGGACTCTTGATGAAGCCCATCAAATTGTTCTTATGAAAATAGCAACAGCGGGAGGGTGGAGGGAAGGCGAGGGAGAAAGGGGGGACAGATTACAAGGATCTACATATAACCTCCTCTCTGGGGGACAGACAGCGGAGAAGTGGGTGAAGGAGATGTCAGATGGTGTAAGATATGACAAAATAATAATAATTTATAAATTATCAAGGGTTCATGAGGGAGAGGGGAGCGGGGAGGGAGCCTCCCCAGGGATTTAAAGTCCTGGCGAAATGCATAGATAAGTGCAATTATGGGGCCTAAGGCAATTATTTGGCTTTCCATTATTTCTTGTGGGAAAAATATACTCAGTTCTTGACAAATGAGGAGCTGATACCAAGGGCTCAAGTAGAAAGCAAATGTTTTGAGAATGTTGATGGCAACATAGGTACAAGTGTGTTTGACACAATGGATGGATGTATGGATTGTGATAAGAGTTGTACGAGCCCCCAATAAAATGATTAAAAAAAAAGAAAATAGCAACCCAGAATCTCAAGAAGAAAAAAATCAAGTCCAGGTAAAAAGACCAAATGCTGTAGTGGTAGAGCAGAGCATGCCCCTTCAAAGCAGACCCCCTTTTCAGGTGTTGAGGCCTGGCTGTTGGGATAAGCGGACGTTCTAAGTGAGAGGTTACCCAGGGTTCCTTAAACATGGGCCTGGTCAATGGATCCCTCTGCGCTGATGTCAGGAAAGCTCATCTGGAGTTGCTGAATGTTGTTAATTTTTGCTGTTTCCTTATAGTTGAATGAAAACACTGAGCGGGCAGAAAGCAGGAAAAGAAACAAAGCACCAGGTCATTGGAAGAGGTTGAAAAGTTATTGTTCATTTGGATAAATCAGAAACAACGTGATGGTAATATCGTATCCAAGACAGTGAAGTGCCAGAAGGCTAAAAGCCTCCCCAGGGATTTAAAGTCCTGGAGAAATGCATAGATAAGTGCAATTATGGGGCCTAAGGCAATTATTTGGCTTTCCATTATTTCTTGTGGGAAAAATATACTTAGTTCTCGAACTTGTCGGGGTTTGAACATGAGTTTGAATGAATTGAATTCAACAATGGCTAAAATCTAATTTCTTTTGAGAGAGCTTTTCAAAAGCCTTTGATGGTTACATGTTTGAAACCAAAAAGTTGAAAAATGTTGAAAGAATTCCCTTGTACCTTTAAAAAAAATCATTTTATTAGGGGCTGATACAACTCTTATCACAATCCATACATAAGTCAATTGTGTAAAGCACACCTATACATTTGTCGCCCTCATCATTCTCAAAACATTTGCTTTATGCTTGGGCTCTTGGAATCAGCTCATTTTTTCCCCCTTCCTACCCGCTCCCCCATCCCTCATGAACTCTTGATAATTTATAAATTATTATTTTATCATATCTAACACTGCCTGACGTCTCCCTTCACCCACTTTTCTGTTGTCCATCCCCCAGGGAGGAGGTTATATTTAGATACTTGTAATCAGTTCCCCTTTCTACACCCACCCCCCTCCACCCTCCTGGTCTCCCTTGCATCCGTTACAGATTCACTTGTTAGTATTTTGCTAACTTACTTTTAATTTTTATTAGCCATTTACTATTAAGATTCATTTTTTATTTATGTAGCTTCCTGACTCTGCTATGTCTTCACTGCTTTTGGTTTTTGGTTCTGCTTTGCAGTACGGCAGCACGCTGGATTCTGCCCGGGACTCAATGAGCACATAGGAAACCACTGTCGGTCCGCTGATGTGAGAACTCAAGATCGGTTTTGCTGTGTACATTTTTGCCACAACGAAAAAGAAAAAACCCCAAATAATAATGGGTACAAAGAAGAAGAAAATGTCCTCAAATTGGGGGAGTAATTATATAACTTTGGTTGAATTATTGAATTGTATGATGTGGGTAAAGTGCCAAGAAAACTTAAAAACAAACAAGAAAAACCTTGAAGGTAAACAAGCGGCCATCAAGCTCAGAAGCAACAAAGCCTAGATGGATATGATTTTTGTTCTTTGATGCCTGATAACTGATCCCTTTGGCACCTCGTGATCACACAGGCTGGTGTGCTTCTTCCATGTGGGCTTTGTTGCTTCTGAGCTTGATGGCCGCTTGTTTACCTTCAAGCTTTTAAGACCCCAGACGCTCTATCTTTGGATAGCCGGGCACCATCAGCTTTCTTCACCATATTTGCTTATTCACCCGCTTTGTCTTCAGTGGTTGTGTCGGGAAGTTGAGCATCATAGAATGACAATTTAATAGAAGAAAGTATTCTTGCATTGAGGGAGTACTTGAGTGGAGGTCCAATGTCCTTCTGCTACCTTAATACCAAACCTATAAATATATACTCATAGATCTATTTCCCCATCCTCATATATAAATATATTTGCATATGTACATGTCTTTATCTAGACCTCTATAAATGCCCTTTCCCTTCCAGCTCTTTCTTCTATTTCTCTTGACTTTCCTCCTGTCTCACTATTATGCTCAGTCCCCACCAGGGTTTCAGCAATTCTTGTTACATTACCCTTGATCATGACCTACCAGTCCTCCCACACCCTCATCCTCACCACCATTTTGGATCACTTGTTGTCCCCTTGTCCCTGGGTTTGTTAACACCACTTCCTTTCCCCCCACCTCCTCCTCTCCCATGCTCCCCCCCCAACCGGAACTGTCGGTCTCGTTGTTTTCTCCTCCAGATTGTTCATCCAGCCTATCTTATTTAGACAGACCTGCTCCAACTCTTTCTTGAAGTATTTTGTGCTCCTCAATTTATAGTGGCCATTCTTGAGGGGCTAAAATGATGTTCCTTTGAAATATCCTTTGAGCTTTGGGGGAAAGGAAGTCTCCTGGGACAAGAGCAGAGGTGTAGGGTGGATGGGGAAACGTTTCCCAATAATAACTTCCTACGGGACAGTTCTTGCTGTCCTGGAAGAATCAGTAGGGGTGCTCTCTTGATAGAAAATATTTCCTGGTTTTTTCCTCACCACTATAGTTTTCAACTTTCTTAAAACTTCCTAATAACCCTTCATGCTCATCTTGCATCCTTCAAGAAAAGCTATCCAGATTCAAATCCATTGCTAAGTAAAATCTGACTCATAGTGACCCTACAGGTCACAACAGACCTGTACCTGGGCTCCCTGAGACTGTAAATCCTGAGGGAGCAGGCAGCTCATCTCGCTCCTGCAGAGCAGCAGGTGGTTTGAATGGCTGACCTTGAGGTTAGCAGTTGAATGCTTGCTTATCCCACGATGCCACCAGGGCTCCTTCAAGATGACCCCTTTGAAACTCCACAAGACGGTCACCCAAACACCTTCTGCGCTCACCTCTCTGCCTTGAATGGAACTGGCCCAGCGGATTTCCTCGGAAGCCACTGTTTTGTTGGACGCTGTTCTCTGGATCACCTTGGTCAATCCAAGACTTGCCCCTGGTCATGATTCATTCCATAAGATTGTCTTCATTGGCTTCTATCTTGCTTAAGAGACTTAGAACTCGTTGATCCTTGCACAATGCTTCTGGCACCCATCAGGCCCAAAGCTTGCTGAGGACAAGATGTCTGCTTAAAATTGAAAATGCTGAGCCACGTGAGATGCCAACTTCAGTAACACTCCCATTAATGGCATTTCTATGGCTTTTTCCACAAGTTCCTGGACTTCAGCCAGTGTCTTCATTTGCCAAGGATGATGATCTTCCCTCTCTTGGCTCCTCTTTGAGTTCTGGTTCACTGGAAAAAGACGAGGCTGTCTGCTTCTGTAAAGATTTACAGCCTCAGAAAACTTTAGAGTTACTATGAGTTGGAATCCATTCAATGGTAGTAGGTTTTGGTTTTTGTATAGTTCCCAAGATCAAGGGTGATTTCTTACATAAACCAGCACAATCATCAAAGCCATAAAACTTAACGTTGGTACAATACTATGGATCTAATATAGTCAAATTTGCTAATTGCTCCATGTTGTCCTCCATGTTGACCCATCCCCCTAGAATCCAATGCAAGACTACTGTTGCATTTCGTAGTCACTGTAACTTTTTAGTGTATAATCTGAGTTTATATTTTCGTTCACTTGGCTGTGTCCATCCAACTTTTAGCGAGCTTACAGGAAGAATACCCTTTGTGGTCGAGTGGATTCAGATTCAGCAACCCTATAGGAAGGGGTACAGAACAGTCCCGCAATTTTGGTGTCTGATGTTCATCCTGATTAGACTCATTCCAAGCGTTGTCGGACTTGCTAGGATGGTGATGTTGTGTTCTTCTCTCACGAGGTCATTGTCGTGCTAGCTTGGATCACTGGGTCAACGGTTTCTGGAGTTTCTCTCCTGTAAAAGATCCTGATTCCTCTCTTTAATTACCAATCAACTTGTGATTATTTATGGGAAAGGCTTCGGATGTTCTTTCGATTTGATATCGAATGTTCCTGAAATGTTCCAGCCGCGAGTCTAAGCCAGCCTCAGCCGTCATCCATCAAGTTCGGTGACCAGGAACACGTCCGGAAAGACTGTGTCGCCTTAGCCGCAAGACATCATGGGAATTGTAGTCTCTCTGAGCGCTCGGGGTGAAGCGCCGCTCTGCGGTCGCTCCAAGACTAAGCCAGAGCCGAACTGGGAGGGCAAAGAGCGGCGGGGCGCTAGGCGACGCGGTGCATCATGGGTCAGGTAGTTCGTAGTCGGGCGTTCCTGCCGCGCCAGCCAGGCTCCATTCAGGGGAAACGAACTACCTTACCCACTAGGCCAGGCGCGCCGGAGAAGGGGAGACCATCCTGGGCCTCGAACAAATCAAATCGAAGCAAAGAAACTGCCGGCTTTCAAAAATCCTCCTCCGCCGCCATCATCCGCCGCCGTGTGGGGAGCAGGTGCTGTCGGAATCGCGAGCGGCGAGCGGCTCTGGGAGAGCGGACAGGCGCGTGCACGGAGCACTGAGACCCCTAGGTCCAGAGGCGGCGACCTGGACTTGACCCGACCCGGGCCCTAACACCGTCCCCGCCCCGCGGGGCTGACGCGCGCGCTCAGGGTGCCCCACGCGGCGGCGGCGCCGCCTGTTCACGGTAGGATCAGGATCTCTTTCCTTTTCTCCCTCACCTGCCTGGGCTGGGCGCGGGGGCACCGGGCGGCCCTGGAAGCAGCCCAGGACGGCGTGGTGCCCGCGGGGGCCGGCGCCGACCAAGTGCGGAGGTGGAGGCGGGCGGAGGGCTCCGGCCCTTTTCACAAAGGGGGACACAGACTCGGAAAGGACGTCGGACCCTCCGGACCGTGCAGCCGGCAGCTGCCTGCGCTGGCGTCGCTGGCCGCCAGGGCGTTGCGGGGCCGCCGGGGATCCGGGTGGGGCTCCCGCGCCGCCCGCCTGTCACCGAAGGCCTGGCTCCGCGCGGCGTGCCCGTCGCCGCCTCCCCTAGGCCCACGCAGCCCCGCGCGGCGCCAGGGGTCCCTGCTGGCCGTCGGGATGTGCACCTGAGAAGGTGCCCGTGCTGCCGACAGAGAGGCGGCTGTCTCCTTATATACTGAGGGGCTTGGCTCTGCTGCTGACCCCTTGCCGACCTTGGTCAAATCAATTCACTTTTCCGTGCTTCGATTTTTTTTTTTTTTGCTCTTTAGAATGGGTGGGAGAGGCCAGCCGGCCTGGGAGTGGGCTCCCTTCCACGTGGGAAGGTCTGGCTGCTGGCCTCAGGCTGCCCTGTCCCAGGACTGCAGGAGGTGGTGGGAGTCATTTTCATTCCATTCCTCTGGGTCCTTCTGAAGACCTGGTCCTGAGTCCCACACAGAGCCAGATCCCGTCAAACATAGGGAAGGTCACATCACCGTGCTCTGCGTGCTGCTAAAATCCCGCCAGTGGTTTTGACACCAGGAGTAAGAGCCACAGTTTCTTAATGGCCTTTGTGATTTGGGTCTTCTGGAAACCCCTCCCTCCCTCATTGCTCAGGCCTGGAAGGCTTCCTTGAGCTTCCTCCAACTCTCCACTGCTCCACTTGGGGGGTGCCTTTAAGAGCCTTCGTGTTTGTGGGTCTCTTTGCATGAATGCTCTTCCCCCTAACCTGCTGGGCTGGATCCCAAGTAGCCTTCAGCCCATCTTCTTCCTCCTCCACTTCTTAACACTTAACAAGGCCTTCCTGACAATAACACTTAGCAAACCATTCAACTTTTAATTGCTAACCATTTCTACCCCCATCCCTGTTTCCTGTCACTACCTCCTGTGCTTAGAATATAAGCTTACTCAGAATGATGCACTGCTGCCGCCCTGGTACCTGTAACAACATAGGACACAGGGAGTCAGAAACAGGAAAAACAACAACACATCTGTTGCTTTGGAGCCCATCCCGCCTCTTAGCAACCCTGTAAGGCAAAGTAGAACTGCCTCATAGGATTACAAGACTGCTATTTTGGCAGGGGCAGACTGCCACATCTGTCTCCCTCAGGGTGGCAGGTGGGTTCAAACGACCAACCTTTTGGTTCCCATCTGGTCCCTTTACTCACGGTGCCCCTGGGGCTCCTTTGAACACAGAGGCACGAACTGTAAATGCTTGTTGAATGAATGAGTGGTTGGGAAGACTTAAAGCCAGAAGAATTAACCTGGACTTATCAATAAAGACAGAGAAACGTGGACAAGCCAGAGCAGTGAGGGTGTGCATCAGAAGAGAAGGGAAGCTGGCAGTTTGGGCCCAGAGGAACTCTCTTGGAGTAGGTGGATTGGGACACACTCAGAGCTGCAACTTGAGGAAGAGAAGCGTGGGGGAGGCATTCTGGGGAGGAATCACACCATGGGTACCTCCTGATTCTGTCTTGACTATCTGTTCTCTTCCTTCTCCCAATCCTGCTTCCCATGTCCGTTCCATTCCTTGGTGTCCCCTCTCTGCCCCCCATGACCTGCCGTCTCCTCTTTGGAGAAATGGAGCTGCCTTTTTCAGCCAGTCTGCTGAGCCCCAAGCCTGGAAGCTCCTTTTGTCCAGCAGCTCTGTCCCTGGCCTATTGTGATGGTAGCTGTGTGATGTCGAGTACTCCGGTCTCCTAGGAACCCCTGAGGCCTGGCCATGTGGTTGCCCAGCCTCCTGGCCAAGGTTGGAACCAGGTGTGCCCTGGGCCCAGCCCTGAGCCCCACTCCCAGAGTCATGCCAGCCTGGGCGGTGGCGCACTCCCTGGGATGGATGACCTGGACCCGGTAGCCATCTGTGTCCTTTTTGAGGAGTGGGACCCTCAAACAGAGAGCAGCCAAGATGATCTGGCGGGTGTGTACTTGGAGCTCGGCCTCCAGGGCTGCTCAGTGCGGGCAGAGCACCTGGCCTTGCCAGGTGGCCCCCGCTGGGTGGTGGAGAACTTGTTGGGGGGGGGGGGTTGACAACTCCTCAGAGGCTCAGAAATTTTTTTTTCTGGTTCCTTGTGACTCCCTCCCCCCCTCCGATTTTCTAGAAGGGCAGCGTCTCTCGTGCTGTTGTCCTAGGGTCTCGGGCAGGGACAGGTGGTGCTAGGTCCATGAGATGGTTGCTATCTGAGCCTATCCCTTCAGCCAGAAGCCTCGGGAGATTGCCCTCTCTCAGTGGTACATGTGTTCCTTCAGTTTGCAGGTCTCCAGGGGAGCCCACCTGTGTGGCCAGCATGGCCTCCGAAGACATTGCTAAGCTGGCAGAGACGCTGGCCCAAACTCAGGTGGCCGGGGGACAGCTGAGTTTCAAGGGCAAGAGCCTCAAGCTCAATACTGCGGAAGATGGTGAGTCCCCACACATCCTGGGAGGACAGTGGTTTGAGAGGACACTGACTCCATGCTCGCTGGGCGGCCGCCTCTTCTAACTCCCTTGTCTCCGTGGCTTTTCCTGGTCTGCCTGGTGGGGAATGAGGCTCAGTGACCTGCCCGTGACTGCTGAGGCTGGCCAACAGAAGGCCTCCGGAGCTCTCAGAGGGTGGTGGCTGTAATGAGGGGGGTTGACTAGTGGCAGTCCAAAGATTGCTTTCTGACTTGGGTGCAGTGCTCCTGGAACTTCATTTAAACCATAGTGCCAGGCCTCAGGGGGAGGGGAAGGGAGAGGGCTGGAGGCCCCTGTCAAGGGGCAGGGCTCTGGGATGGCAGAGAGCCTTCACGGACCACAGCAAAGACCCTGTTCCCCCTATCACTGGCCCAGGCCTAGCTGTCACGGACCTGGCATGTGTCTTGGGAGTGAAGGTGCCCACATAAGGGTTAGGGAGGGCCCTTGGGGCTCTGGCTCAACTAGGGAGCCCAGCCTGGGCTTGCCCGGGAAGCCTGGTGAGAAGCAGGCTGGCTTCCCTCCCCCAGCTGGGAGGCCCCACGTTGCTGGGTGTGTGGGGCGTGGTGATGCTCATTCTGACCTCTCTTTGGGGCCCACGAGCGAACAGATGCCTCCCCAGGCGTTACTGCTTTGATCCTTGAGTCGTCCCTAGCGACCAGGGCCAGGTTGCTGTGTTGTAAATGAGGAACGAAGACTGGGGAGGCCTAAACAGCTTGCCCAAGGTCGTACGGCTGGGGCATCTGCCAAGTTGGGGTCCAGCTGAGTCCCTGCTGCTGTGAAGTGGCGGATCTCCCAGGTTCAGTGAACATGGACTTGCGCTCAGAAGCCCAGGTCACAAGTGCGTCCTTGGTGCCTGGTAGGGAAGGTTAGGGGCCAGCCAAAGCCCAGCTCACAGAAACCCCGGTGGTAAGTTTCAGCTCCGTTCCACAGATTGGGAAACAGGCTCAGGGCAATAAGAAAACTTAACTGAGGACACGGCTACCTCTAAAGTCCATGCAAGTGACCTCTTTGCTTCACCAGCGTGGACTCCATATGTGCCCCCCTTTGAGGGTTGCCGGTGTGTCCTGTGACAGCCTCTGCCTTTAGGGAGCTCACAACCTAGAGAAGGAATGAGATCCCCACGTGGCTATCAGGAAACAGACTCCAGAGACCCAAGCAAAGGACACTGGGAACAAGGTGGAGGGTGGGAGGGTTTGGCAAGTGTCTGTGGGCGGGTTGGTGTTCGAGCTGTGCTTGAAGAAGGGGGGATGAGGAGGCCGCCTGCTCTCCTCCAGATGGACAGTCTAGGGAACAACCCTGTATAGGATTGCTCCGAGTCAGACATTTTGGGATCTTTGAAGGAGGCTTGGAGAAGGGGCATTCTAGGCAAGGAGACTAGAGTTCCGGCATAGGGAATCTGTTGGGTGCTGGAATCCCACTGGGAGGCCCTGGAATACCTTTCTGAGGAACTTGCTCGACTGGAAGGGACTGCCAGAGGAGGCCACACTGAGGCTGACCCGTCCTCTAGAGCCTCGCTCAGGGCCAGAGGAGGACTTTCCATGGAAAGGAGCCATACTCGAGCTTCCTCATCCACGAGGCGGTGCAGGGCGAGGGGAGACATTCCTAGCAGGGTGCCTCCCGACAGTGGGGTCTTCAGGGGGACTGGGGCCCATCCTAACCTGTGACACTGTTACATCCAGTGGTTAACTTATGTGTGTGAACTGCCTGGGAACCCCTCCTCCCTGCTCTCCCCATTTTGCTGCCTTTCCTGCCCGGCTGAGGCTGTGCTGTGATATCCCCTCATACCCCCACCCCACTCCCCTCCACCCCTCAGGCTGAGTTTGAGGCAAGTACAGGACTTTGGGGACTAGGGGCTACTGTAGCTGAGACAGCCTGAATGGAGTCACATCTCAGGGCACTGCGCTGACACCTTATTATTGACGAGCTCTGGTGACCAGCCCCTGAGCCAGGAGACAGGTCTCCCCAGGGCCAAGAGGTCCACCTCCTAGCCCTCAGCCTCTCCCTGGGCAACAGGCGTCCTGGAGTTGCAGCCCCAGAGTGGCCCCTGGGAGAGTGTGGCCGGGGCGAGGGGCTTGAAAAGTCCGTGGTGGTCACAGAAGGAAGTGTTTGTGAAGAGCTTGTAGGCTCAGTTCTGGAAACCAGCCTGAAGCCTGGCTCTGTCCTCCCCTGAACCTCTCAGGCACAATTGCTTTGTCCCTTGAAACTCTTGTTTCCCTGTAGTATAATGATGGGGGTGGGGGGGAAGCCCCCCCACCACTACCCACGGGTTCAGTAAGCACAATTGTATGGTTGAGATTGAGATGTATATATATTAAAGTCATCGAGAGCATGAGCAATAGAAGAGATATTACAATAATGCAGTCGGACACATTACATGGTAGCATTGCTCACCTCAGCCCCCCTTGGTGGTCCACGTGGAGAGAGGGGGAAGGGAAGGAGGACAAGGGGAAAGGGAAACAGGATGGCAGAGGAGACGGGGAAGAGAGGCCTGGGAGGGAGAGACCAGCGAGAGAGGGAGAGAGATCTCTATTGCTAACCCAGGCCTATATACCTTTTGGGGGCATGCAAGCTCACTAATTACAGGTAAAGACATATGTCACAGGAAGGGGTTGCACTATAGGTTATACAGCAATGAGAGGGGGTGGTCTAGGGACATACACCCAATAGGAAGAGGAGGGATTGGGGGTATACATGTGACAAGATGGGATCCTAGATTTAGGAGGGCAGTTTAACTTTGACCTGTTCTCTGCAGGAACCAAGCTAATGGTTGCAAACTTTAGGGAGAAGTAATCCATTGTCTCCAGTAGCAGGGAGCAGGCCCACCCCTGTGGTGGGGTGAAACAGCAGTCTACCTTCAGGCAGGATGTCTAAGCATCTGACCTCCCCCCACAGTTTCCCCTCTGGGAAACAGGGGAGACTTAGCCCTGCCCGGTCTGCTTTTGTCATCAAATGCACTCCGTGGTCCACTCTTTCAGCAGCACAGCTCTTGGCCTTGTGTGGAAGACCATGCAGTTATAACCCATATACAGGGCTGTGAGGGCCCCGTGGGTGTGGAGCCTGGTGGCAGGGATGCTTGACTAGGTTAGGGAGCTCAGGCAAGGGTTTCATGCCACAAAGCACACCCAGACCTCGGGGCCCTTCCAGTCAGCAGACACCCTCCACCCCAAGCCAGGACAGCTTGTCATCAGCCCCCCTATAGGTTACAAGTCACAGCCTTTCCCAAGGCCCTGCTGTGGTCCCCACAGCCTCGAAGGTCAAGTTCACACTGTGTCTTCTGGCACAGCTCTGTGTCTTCCCTCCACCCCCACTCCCTGTCTGGTAGCCAGACTCGATGTTGTTTTGTTTCATGGGACTTGAGATGATCAAAGTAATGCTTGTTCAGTGTCGAATACAAGACAGTGAAGAGAAGAAAACCACATCCTTGTCACCACAGCCCAGGGACCTGCCTCTTGTTTATTCCAGCACTCTCTCCGCCTCATCTCTGCCCCACCCCACTTCATCCCTAAACATAGCTGAATTCCTTTTTAAAAATTTTAATAATTGGATTCCTATCCTCAACTCTTTAAAAGCTCATCTTTCTCCCATGGAGTGGTGGTTTTAAACTGCCAACCTTGTGGTTAGCAGCCCAATTCTGACCCACTAAGCCACAACGGCTCCCCATAACCAAGTAAGAATATATAGTTAGTATACATACCCAAACCAGACCAATGGCCATTGACTCCCTTCCCACACACACCTGAGTTGATTCCAATTCACAGTAACTTTGTCGAACTGCCCCCTGTGGTTTTCCAGACTGCAAATCTATATTAGGAGTAGCAAGCCTCATCTTTAATCCTGCGGAGCAGCTGGTGGTTTCGAACCTCTGACCTTGCAGTTAGCAGCCCACAGCATAACCCCCTACTCTAGGGTTCCTTTTCCCATACATATGACACATGACCCTGTATGGCAAGGGTGGAACCGTCTCATCGGGTTGCAAAGCTTGCAGATGTCTATGGAAGCAAACTGCCACCATACCCTCTTTGCAAGTGCAGAGCTTAGGAATCGTAGCACGATTTGGGTGTGTGTGGGGGGGGGTGGGGGGTGGGCAACAGTTCAAACTATAGCAACGTAGAGCTTTTTTTGCCCCTTTCATCTGACCCCAAACATTTGACAGATCCTTCAGTTGGACTTGACTCTTCCCAGAGGAATTGCCTGCATCCCCTCTGTCAGCCAGGGCTGGCACCTGGCCAGCACCTGGCCAGGAGTCTGTATGTGACAGCAAGGTTGTTCATCTCCCACCTATCTCTTCTGTGACTCCCCAAAGTCTAATGTCTCTACTTTGGTCCTGGGCAGCTAAAGACGTGATTAAAGAGATCGAAGAATTTGATGGCTTAGAGGCCCTGCGTCTAGAGGGCAACACGGTGGGTGTGGAAGCGGCCAAGGTCATCGCCAAGGCCTTGGAGAAGAAATCGGAGTTGAAGGTGAGACCAACAGGTGTCCAGCCCTCCCTGGTCCCTTGCCCTGTTGCAATCACCTGTGCCTACCCAGAGCCTCAGCATGACCAGGGCCCCTCACCTGTGTGACGGGTCCATTCAGATCCCCGAGGGAGCAGACACTGAGGTGGGTTTAGGAGTGCAAGAGGCTTACTGGAGCAACTGTTGTGAAAGACAAGATGCTATCTGTCCTTGTCACCATCCACACCCCTGTCAGGTCAGGCCTTGACAGAAAAGTTGGCCCAGGGAGCATAAACCGTACCTGATCACACATCTTACCAGCAGGAAGGAAGGAAGCCAGGTAGGAAGGCAAGTTCATTGGCTCGGAGAGTTGCTGTTAGGCACGGTCAGGTTGGTTCAGACTCATGGCAATGCTCCTTATAACAGAATGAAACACTGCCCGGTCCGGCACAGTGCTCACCGTCGCTGTCACGCTGAGCTCTTGTCGTAGCCACTGTGTCACACCATCTTGTGAGAGTCTTCCTCTTTTCCCTGACCCTTGGTGTCCTTCTCCAGGTCTGGCTGCAGCTGTATTACAGCCTCATTTCAAAGGGAAAGTGCCAGAAGGGGACAGTGCGGGGTCTGGGCTGGTGAGGCCAGGGTTCTAGTCAGAACGGGAAGCCGTGCCTGCGCTCTGGAGCCCTGATGCCCAGCTTGTCAGAGTTGGCATTGGGCAGCTTCGGGGCGAGATGGCACATCTACTGTGAGGTGTTCACGCCTAGGGTGGCTTCATGTTTGTGGCCCCAGGCCTGGCACAGGCAGCACCCCCAGAACACCCCAGTGTGGGAGTGTTTGGCCACACCCCAGGCAGGCCAGAATGGGTTGCTTGATAGAGAGATACACACGTTCTCAGGCTAAACCAACGGTTGGTCCTTCAGGTGGAATTTGGTCAAATACAGTTTTAGGGACTGGATCTTCAGGTGAAAGGGAAGTGAAGTCCATCGTTCCCCAAGTTTGGTCCAGGGAAGGCCCGAGCCATTGCTGCTGGGGTTTGTGTTTTAGGGGTAGGTAGAGCCAGCCAAGATGAGGGAATAGGGCCATGTGCTGGCCCACAGGGTTCCCCAGTTCTGTCACCTTCGATGACAGTAACTTACTATTGTCTTTAAACCAATTCACTTTTAAAGAATTCAAAAGCACACATGATCCCTTCTGTAAATGGAAAGGTAATATCCCTTTCCATAAATACAACATAACCAAAAAGATAGAGAATGGTGGATCCCTGTCAGTTGGACACTGTTGCCACCTGCAGGCGCCTTAAAAAGGCAGATAAGCAGGAAGGACAGTGGGAGCGAGCAGCCAGCCTGTCCTGAGCTGCTTCTGGAGGCCTGAAAACAGAGCCCATGGCTCCTGGGAAATGCCCTGAGAAAGAGCACTGGGCCAGGAGTCTGGGGATCTCCGCCCAGTTTGATCGTGGGGCCGGGGACACATCTCTTCACTGAGAGCTGGCTTGCCCTTCTGGGCACCAGCAGGCCACACAGAGGAAGGGGTTTCCAGGCTGAGTCCCTCATGCTTCCCGGCCCCAGGGGCCTCCACTTGAGCGCAGGCAGGTCCACTTGCTGCGTCGGGACACCTCCGAGAGGCCCGGCTCACTCCTTTTTCCCTCCTCTTCCCCAAGCGATGCCACTGGAGCGACATGTTCACGGGGAGGCTGAGGTCGGAGATCCCGCCAGCTCTGGTGAGTGGGCAAGGCTGCGCCCCTCCCGGTTTGTGCTCACACCGCCTTTCTTCTGGAGACAGGCCCGGGAGAGGCTCAACAGACACCTGGCGGCAGGACGCCTGCTCTCTGGGTGACAGCAGGACAGGTGGCGAAGGCGGGAGTCAGAGTATCCCACGCCAGGCCCGGTGGGAGGCCTCCTGTTACTTTCTCCCACCACCTTCCCTGCACCCTGGGCAGGTTCTCTCACACCGGCGCCGCCTGTGGTCGCCCAGCTTTCTCTCTCCCTCTCACCCTGTCTGTCTCATGAAGACCACTCTCTCACTGCTTCCTGGCATAGTTTCCTCTCTCCCCACTGTGTGTGTGTGTGTGTGTGTGTGTTGACGTGCGCATGCACACGTAGGAGGCAGCATCGCAGCAGTCCCTCAGTGTGCCCCCACAGTCCAGGGTCTGGCAGCCGGCTCAGCCCTCAGCGGTACTGGTACTCGGGCACGGCGGCCTCTGGTTGTTGAGGCCCTCCCTTGAGCTACGACGTTCCTTCTCTGGCTTTCATTCGTCTGGCCAGCTTGGCGGGGTGGCGGGCTGGGTCTAGAGACCTCAGGTATCAACCTCGCTTCTAGAAGTCCGCATTTAGTGAAAACTCAGTTACCTGAAGTGACGGGCCGTGATGGGGTCCCTGAGGGCCAGCTTTGAAAACTACCTTCTGGGGCAGTTCTTTATCCTCTAGGGCAGTGCTTCTCAACCTTCCTCATGCCGAGACCCTTTCATGTAATTCCCCCAGCCACCCTCCCCCCCACCAACACACGCAGTCTGATCCCTCCTCAGCATAAGGATACGGAAAGACAGACTTAGGGACGCAGGGACTGACCTTGCTTGCAGATGGATTATGCCTCACTAGCGTCACCTCCCCACCCACACTGAGGATGCTCGCTGCATTTTCCAGATGAGTCCAAGTGGCCTTAAAGAAGCCATGGAGCATCTGACCCCCCAACCGTAAAATTACCTTCATTGCTACTTCATAACTGTAATTTTACTACTGTTATAAATCGGCTGACCCCTGTGAAAGGGTCATTTGACCCTCCAAGGGGTCGCGACCCACAGGTGGAGAACTGCTGCTGTGGGGCCACTGGGAGTCAGAATTGATGCAACAGAAATCCTTCCTCCCAACCCCCCACACACCTGCACCCCTACCCCCTAGCTGAGTGGGTCCACAGCCATGTACAGTCAGACAGCTCTGCGCCAGTCCCCGAGGTGGGGCCTGGTGCAGAAGCAGCACCTGTCAGCCTGACGAGGTCCCTTCTGTGCCCAGAAATCGCTCGGGGCGGGGCTCATCACGGCCGGGGCCCAGCTGGTGGAGCTGGACCTGAGCGACAATGCCTTCGGGCCTGACGGCGTGCACGGCTTTGAGGTCCTGCTCAAGAGCTCGGCTTGCTTCACCCTGCGAGAACTTAAGCTCAACAACTGCGGCATGGGCATCGGCGGAGGCAAGGTGGGTGCCAGCTCGGCCTCTTGGCCCCTCCCCGTCAGCCTCGGCTCTGTGTGCACCTGTCTGGAGCACGGCCCCTGGCCACCCCCTGTCTGGAAAGACTGCCTGTCCGTTATTCACTTCAAAGGAGAAAGGCTTCAAAGCCTGTGGCTTGTGGGAGAAGAGATGGAGTCTTGGAGAATGGGGTTGCCAAGCAACCGTCCTCAGCTCTAGTGTTGCCTTGGCAACATAGAGGATGAGCTACTTCCATGCTCTGGCTGGCTGGTTCTGTAACACAGGCTTAGAGTCTCCCCTCCCTAGTCCTGCTGCCCTTAGAAGAGCCAGCAGAGCCTGGGGCAAGACCTGTGTGTGTGTGCGTCCACCCAGGGAGGCCTGGCCATCCATTGCTGTCCTCCCCGGCCCTGCTAGCTCCAATCCTTCTCCTGGAGGTTGCCTTGGCCCCCTGGCTATATTCCCTGTCCCCCCCCCAAACACACAGTCTGATCCCTCAGCATAAGGATACAGAAAGACAGACTTAGGGACGCAAGGACTGACCTTGCTTGCAGATGGATTATGCCTCACTAGCTTCACCTCCCCACCCACACTGAGGATGCTCGCTGTATTTTCCAGATGAGTCCAAGTGGCCTTAAAGAAGCCATGGAGCTTCTGCAATCCTGTCAGTGGGATGTGGGATTTGTACCTTCATCCCAGAGACTCCCTCCAGATCAGCACAGAGTCCAAGGCTGAGGAACCGAGGGGCCTCCCTGCGGGGGGTGCCTGCCAGTGGCTCTGTCCCAGGACATGGGAGGTGACCCCGGGCAAGGGACCCACACTGTCCCGTGCAATGCCGATCTGAGGGCAGCGGGCCTGAGTGAGCCCGGCCTGGAGGGCGTGCACTGCGGAGCCTCAGAAACATAACATGCGTCAGTGTGACTCCCTGTCTGAGGAACCGAGGCACACAGCTGCTCCAGCCGTGAAAAAGCCGTCGGAGTGAGCAGTCGGGGCTGGGCTCCTGTGCTAGCTCCTTCCTCGCCACCAGCGGTGATGTCACCGTAGGGTGATGGAGCAGCGGCCCACCTTTCCCCACAGATCCTGGCGGCAGCTCTGACCGAGTGTCACCACAAATCCAGTGGCCAAGGCAAGCCGCTGGCCCTGAAGGTCTTCGTGGCTGGCAGGAACCGTCTGGAGAACGACGGAGCCACCGCCTTGGCGGAAGCTTTTGGGGTGAGTGAGTGGTCCCGCCTCCTCCTCTGGCTGCCGTGGCGGATTTCCATCTTCCGTCTCTGAGGGGTTTCATGCTGTGGCTCGTGCAGGCTTTTCTTGGAGTGTGACTGTAAGCCCACAAGCTTCAGCGCTTGAGTCTCTCTGTGACGAGAGTTGCTGCAAACGTGTTTATGTTGATCCCCACTGCCGAGCGTGGGGTCCTTCCTGGACCCGCCCCAGAGCTCGGCGCTTGGGCAGGGAGGGGCTGCCCCTGCTCCTAGAGTAGGCTTCAGGTGCAGCGGCATTGTAATTGCTGCGACGTTTCCCATGGGAAAACCTGGCTTTGTCCTCCCCCACCCCAGGTCATCGGGACCCTGGAGGAGGTGCACATGCCACAGAACGGGATCAATCACCCTGGTGTCCTGGCCCTGGCCCAGGCTTTCGCCATCAACCCCCTGCTGCGTGTCATCAACCTCAACGACAACACCTTCACTGAGAAGGGGGCGGTGGCCATGGCCGAGGTGAGGTGGCCTCGGGGGGAGCAGGGGCAGGGGTGCATTGCCCTCCTCAGCCGCCATTCCCCTTGGATCCCGCCAGCTCGGCTGTGTTAAGACAGGGTGTCTCTCGCAGGCTGCCCTTCTGGGCAGCGCTGGTGTGGGTGCCACCCTCACTCTGAGCTTAGCTCAGCCTCCTGTGGCCTCAGGCTGCTCATTCCTCATTGGATAGCTGTTTGTTGAGGCCCTGCCTGGTGCCCAACCCTGTGGTTCCTGTGGCAAGCACAGGCCACGAGGAGACCCTAGACTGCAGTCCAGGACTCCGAGCATGGTGGTCGGGTGTCAGGAACTCCAGGCTGCGAGGCCCCAAGGCCGGGTATTAGCAAAGAAGTGTGAGCAGGGGTTTAGACTAAGGCTGGGCTTCCAGTCGGACTTAGGATAGGCTGTTGGGGAGATTGCACTGGGCCAAGCTGTATGGCTTGTTCTCCAGACAGATGGTGGGGGGCTTCAGACGGGTAAGCCAGCAGCCTGTGCGAAGGCCCAGAGATGGGTGTACGGGGCAGGTAGCTATTCACTCCAGCTTTGGAGCCGGGTTGCCTCCCTGAGGCCTTTTCTCCCTGGGTGATAGGGAGCCTTGAGGGTTTAAACAAAGGGGTGTGTGGGGGTGGTGGGGGGCGGTCACATGTGCCTCGGGGGAGCTCTGGCTGTTACAGAGAGTTGGTTGACCTGGGGACAGGTGACGCTCAGCATCACTGGGTCCCCTGGGCCTGTACCTCACCCAGGACGTTTCCTCTCCGCAGACTCTGAAGACCTTGAGGCAGGTGGAGGTGATCAACTTCGGGGACTGTCTGGTCCGCTCCAGGGGGGCCGTGGCTATTGCAGATGCAGTCCGAGGGGGCCTCCCCAAGCTGAAGGTGCCTGACCCTGCCGCCTTCCTTCCGTGCTGGGGTGGGGAGCCGGTCCGGAAGAGGGGTCAAGTCTGTGAAGGTCGGAGGCCTGGCTTCAGAGCCTAGTTCTCCCAGCTCCCAGCTATGATTTTGAACAAGTCTCCTCAACCTTCTGCCTTTTTCAAGTTGGGGGGTGGGGGAGACATGGCAGTACCAGGGACAGTCTCACCAGATGCAGTGATTGTCTGGGGGCCCAGGGGGCCCTGTGGGTTATGCGTCGGCGCACAATCTGGGGGCCCCGTGGAGCTGTTCTACCCGCCCTAGTGGGTGACTGTGAGTCAGAATGGACTCCTGACAGCTTGAGTTTTGTTTGGGTTGGGGGGAGGGGGGTGCCTGCAGGAAGGACCCTGGTGTGTGTACCTGGCTGCTGACTGAACGGTTCCGACCGGCCAGCCCCTGTGTGGAGGAAAAAGTGGCGAGCGGCTTCCATGAGTATCAGGCCTTGGTCACCAGAGGGGTCACCACACTTAGGAGCAGCTCCGCGGCAGTGGGTTTGGTTTTGGCTGGTGCATCTGGTGAATGAACCGAGCTCAGCTGCCCACCAGAAGGCGGGCAGTTTGAGCTGCCTGGAGGTCAAGTGATTGAGGACTGGTCAGCGCCAAAGGCCCTCCTAGGTGGCCAGGAGTCAGAATCCACTTGTCAGCAACTGAGTTTGAAATGCATCTGGCAGCTGACCCATCACTGAGTACCTGGTGGTGGTGTTACCATTGACGCCTCCTTTGTCTGGTTGGTGGACAGACCCTGGCCTGCCCTGTCCTCAGGTGGGGAGGCTGAGACTAGGATGTGCAGTCTCTCCTCTAGCCCAGGTGCGGGGCTATCTCCAGCCTCCCTCTCACTCTGCAGGAGCTGAACTTGTCCTTCTGCGAAATCAAGAGAGACGCTGCTCTGGCTGTGGCCAAGGCAGTGGAGGACAAGGCTGAGCTGGAGAAGCTGGACCTCAACGGTAGCCATGGCAGGGCCGGGCGGCCTAACAGACACCCTGGGGCTGGTTTGGGGCACCAACTGGCCCTGGGCCCTGTCCTGATCCCCGGTCCCTCCCGTGAGCAGGCAACGCCCTGGGGGGAGAAGGCTGTGAGCAGCTTCAGGAGGTGCTGGAGAACTACAACATGGCCAAGGTGCTGGCCTCACTGAGGTAGGGCAGGCCTCCCCCTCGCGGGGTTCTCCTCCTCGCCCCGGAAATGTCAGTGAGCCCCGTCTGCGTGCCAGGCATTGCTTGGGCAGTGGGGCTGTGAGGCCCGAGGCTGTCTGTGTTCCTGCCTTCACACGCAGGTCACAGAGAGATAGGATGGAGCTCTGTCACCCGTCCACTAGGAGGGGCTGGGGTGGTCCCCTTCAAGTGGGGAGTTGGGAGGGAGCTTGTGGCAGGGTGGGTGGTGTGTGGTCTCAGGGACCGGGAACATTGGGTTGAGTTCGTGGACTTGGAGAGCAGCACCAGTGGTGTCCTGGGATGCACTGGGCAGCTCACTGCAAGGTCAGCAGTTCCAAACCACCAGTTCCTCCTTGGGAGAAAGAGGGGGCTTTTGACTTCCATAAGTTACACGGTCTCAGAAGCTCACGGGGCGGTGCCCCTGTCACGGTGAGCCAGCATTGACTCGATGCCCGTGAGTCTGTGTGTGGGGTTTGTTTCTTGGAGCTCAGAATGGCTTCTAAATAAGCTGGAAAGGAATGTAGGGGTCTTGGTGGTGGGAGTGATCCAGTAGGAAAGAAGGAAGGGTCCCTGGTATGTGGAACCCACGTGGAGGGAAGGTGACCCCCAGATGGGGGTCGCATCAGCCATGGCCCTGTTTCCACGTGGCCGTGGTTCTCGTGTCAGGTAGCTGGGTCTGAGTGCCAGGCCAGCTGGGGCTCACTGACAGTGTGCTCAGCACACCATGGGTGCCCAGCCAGGGTGTGTCCACGGTGAACCAGAACTTTTGCTCTCCCCCGTGGGTGGGTGGCTCCTTTGGGACAGTGACAAGATGGTGATTCTGGTCTGAAACCTGGGCCCCTCTGAGGGCTGCAGAATGAATGATGTAGCCTTTCCTCCTGGGAGCCGCCCCCCCCCACCTCCTGCCCTGGGCTCTGTGGGCTCCAGGCCACTGGGCATGGAGGGCCTGCTTTAGCCAACTGCCTCTACAGTGATGACGAAGGTGAGGATGATGAGGATGAAGACGAGGAAGGAGAGGAGGAGGAGGAGGAGGAGGATGAAGAGGAAGAGGAGGAGGAAGACGAAGATGATGACGAGGAGGAGGAAGAAGAAGAGGAGGAGGAGGAGGAGGAAGAGGAACCACCACAGCAGCTAGGGCGAGGAGAAGCGGCCAGCACACCCTCAAGGAAGATCCCGGACCTTAACAACGGGGTGAGTTAGTTCCCCCTGTTTGCCAGCATCAGAACGTGAAAGCCGGAGGCATCTTGGGAGGCAGGGAGATGTGGGCCCACGGCACGAGCCCTGAGGGTTTGTGCACCTCAGGATGGCTGTGAATCGGAATCGACTCCACAGCCGTGGATTCGCTTGGTTTGGGCTCAGTGAAAAGCAGTGTGCCTGCCAGCCCTTCCCACAGAGGCAGGCGAGGCTGTCTGCTCCCGTGAAGATGCACAGTCTCTGAATCCCACGGGGCAGTTCTGCTCTGTCCAGCGGCCTCACGGCGAGTCAGCCTCAACTCACCAGCACCCACCATGAGCAAACAGAAAAGCACCCTCTTCGTTCTGTCTTTCCTGTATCTCTCTACCCCAGCAGAGATGTTTGTTAAGGTCGATAAGACATACATAAACACACATATTACTAAAAGAACTAGGGAGGGAAAAAAGCAAGTATCACTAAGCAGTTCTGGTAAGTTTGGCCCGCCTGTGGGTTGCCTTGGCTACCTTTTGGGGCACCCCCTGATGTGAGGGCCAGTGGCAGGGCACGTGGTGTCCGCTGCCCCGTTCACGTGTCCCTGTTCCCTCATAGGCTCCGTCGTAAAGCTCCCGGAGGACTGTGGGTTGGACTGAGGATGCCCCACCTCTCGTTGAATTTGGCTTCTTTTCCACTTGATGGAAGCAGTTAAGCAAATGGCTAGGCAGTACTTCCTGGTACTCTGCTCCTCTCCGGGCATCGCTGGTGCTTTCTGATCCAGACTGGACTCGGGACCCCGGGGGTCATCCCCTTGAGTCCAGATGCTCGCGTCATTTCTGGGGGGTTCTCATTGAGTCTTAGGTGACTCGGCCTGGCCCCTTAGGTCCCCGGATGAGAGCCAGCCAAGGCCAGCACCTGTGCCCCCCCCCCCGCCCCCTCCCCCCACTTGGATGTTGGGGGAAGAATTCTGGGCTGTGCACTTTACCTGCCTAGTGAGGCACAGCTATTCAGGGTTGGCTGGGCAGAGCTGGCAGAGAGGCTGTGCTTTGGGACTTGGCAGAGTCCCCCAACACTCTGCCAACCTTTTCCCAGGAGCCAGCTCCAGTCCTGTGCTCCCCACCGCCCACAGATGTCTCCACCTTCCTCGCCTTCCCCTCTCCAGAGAAGCTGCTGCGCCTGGGACCCAAGAGTTCCACATTGATAGCCCAACAGGTATCAGCCCCTCGGAACCCAGACCTTCCTAGGCTATGGCTTCTGGAATTGCCAGAGCAAAGGGACCGGGAGCTCACAGGGCCTGGGAGACAAGTGGGCAGTGGGGCAGGCTGCCCTGACTGCCTTTTAATATGGCAGCATCTAAGGGAGCGGGACCAGCGAGTCCCTAAGACCCCTAGTGCTTACGGGTGACTGCGCTCTGCCCCGTGAGGTCCTTGTCCCCTGGGAGCCCCATGAACAGGGGCCAGGGCTTCGCTAGCCGGCAGCAGCAGCACAAGGCAGTCAGTCTTCCTGTCTTGTCTCCTCAGACCGACACGGCTGACCCAGAGAAGGTGGTCTCTGCCTTCCTGAAAGTGTCCTCTGTGTTCAAGGAGGAAGCCGCAGTGAGGGCCGCTGTGCAGGACGCAGTAGGTAATGTGACAGCAGGGCCCTTGGGCTCCTGCCCTCCCAGATGACATTTCCTGATTATTGTCACCCTCTGTTCCAGTGCTGATCCAAAATCAGTCAGTCCCCCTGTCAGGTTCTCATCACGCCGGGCAGTGGAGGACCAGGGTGGGAGTTTCCACTCTAATTTGTCCAAACGGGGAAACTGATGCCCAGAGCTTACAGGCCTCACTCGGGGCCACACAGCTGTGTCCAGTTAGCTCCCAGGCCTTTCGAAGCTCGTGGTATAGGGACCGTGACGGGCGTTCTGCCGGAGGAGGCCAGAGGGTAACAGCTGAGAGTCCTGGATCCGGGTGCAGGGCTGGACCCTCTGTCCCCACCTCTGAGCCCCCCTCAGGGAGGTCCCACCAGCTCCCCTCATACTTTTCATGAGGCCTTCCTGGACCTTAGGTCCTCCACCACCACACCCTGTTCTCAGAGGTCCCTCCATCACAGTACCTGTCACCTTGAAGGGCAGCCGGGTCTGGCTGGGCTCTTGGCCACTGGCCCCTCTACCACTGAAGCATCTTCGAGCTCCCACAGTGGTCTGCCTCGCTCACCTTTGTCCCCTGATGGGCACAGTGCATGGTGTCACCAAGTCTGTTTTTATGTGAGGCCAAGGCAGGGAGGGACCGAGGGGTGACTGAGCCTGTAGCTGTGCCCACATCTCCCCTCCCGCCGCCTCTTGCAGATGCCTTAATGAAGAAGGCCTTTGGTTCATCCTCCTTCAACTCCCACGCCTTCCTCACCAGTCTCCTCATCCACATGGGCCTGCTCAAGGTGAGAGGCCTCACCCCACTTGTGCCACCCCAACCGCAAGTCCTTCAGGGGGCTGTTGCCCGCGTGAGAGAACACTGTCAGGTCTAGACGGAGGCCCCGGGCCCCCGGCCACTGTAAATCTTGGCACTCCCTCCTCCTGCCATGTGCCCCTTGTAGAGTGAAGACAAGATCAAGGCCATTGCCAACCTGTATGGCCCCCTGATGGCGCTGAACCACATGGTGCAGCAGGACTACTTCCCCAAGGCCCTGGCGCCCCTACTGCTGGCCTTCGTGACCAAGTGAGTATGCTTGCTGTATCGCTGGCGCTGCGGGGCACTGGGCGGAGATGGTTTCTGGAGCCCGGCCGGCTGGCTGACTGGCTTCTGAGGGCCTGCAGCCTCCCCGGCCTTGGCATCCTCCTGGGGTCTTCTCCCCTCTGTCCAGCCTGGCCATGGGGCTCAGGGACTGTGTTTCTCTGTGTGGGGCCGAGGGGCCAGCCAGCCGACTGGTGGGGGAAGGGTCACATGGCCACACACTAGGAAGATGCTGGGCCAGTGTCCGGTCCGACCGTGCAGAGTTCTTTGTCCCTTCCCAGCAGCCACCACGGCCACACGGACCTACCAGGCCTGGCTTCTGTAGCCGCTGTCCTCCCCTGGGGAGGCCCTGGGCTGCGGGGCCACCTTGGTGTCCAGAGACCTGGGAACCTTGACCTCACCAGAGGGTCCTGGGCATTCAGAAGCATTAAGCCCGAGGGACACCCTCCTGCCCCCTCCCCCCTTCAGCTGACCTCAGCCTTCTCTCTCCCCTTTTGCCCAACTGAGACCAGCTGGGTGCAGTTAGGGTGCTTGGAGCCTGTGGTGAGGGCAGTGAGCAGAAGCTGCCCTAGCTTCTTGTACCCAGTGCCTGCAGGGCCAGCAGCAACTTGCTTCGGAGTCCCCTCCCCAGTTCTGTCCCTGTGTCCGTGGACACCCTCCAGCGCTGCCTGGCAGCTGGGCTGCCCTTTGACAGCAGGTGCGCTGCAGCCTCCCCTCCACAGCAGTGACGCCACCTCCGCCCCTCAGGCTTCGTCTGTGATGCCTGGAGGGCCTTCAGATGGTGGCCGTGGCACCCACCCAGTGTCCACTGCTGCCAATTCTCCCCTCGGGCTGCCTCCCCACTGCTCAGGGCCCACTGTGTGTGCATTGTACAGTGCCATGTGGAAGCTCCTCCCACCTCCCAGCCCTGCCCCTCAGGTGTCTCAGGGTATGGTGACCTGTGTGGGCCCTAGCCAGCTGTTGGGACACCCAGCCTGCCCCACCCCGTGCTCACTGACTTGCCGTTCAGCCTCCCCAATGCCACCCCGTGGCCTTATCCTCTGTGCGCAATGAGGCTGAGGAAGCCCAGGCGGGTGCCCGTGGCCACGGAGGGTGACCTGGCCCATGCCTTCGGGAATGGTGTATGGAGAGGCCATCTCCCCAGGAGTGGGGGCTCTGTCCGAGCCACAGCACCACCTCTCTAGGCCTTCTGCACCCCTACCCCGATGCAAGGGGACAGAGAGGGCTCACGCCTCCCTCACGGAGGCCTTAAAGGATGAGGGAATCGAGACTTGAAACCTGGCCCTGTGCCTGGCGGGAGCCTGAGCTCCTGGACTCCAAGGGCACCTGGCTCCCAGCCCATGGCTTTTCTCCCCACAGGCCCAACAGCGCCCTGGAAGCCTGCTCCTTCGCCCGCCACAGCCTGCTGCAGACGCTGTACAAGGTGTAGCCATGGAGCCAGCCTCTGCCACCCCTCCGCCTGGCCAGCGGCTCAAGGAAGGGGCCTGGACGGACTGAGCGGCAGCCCCGCCTTTTCCTCGGGCAGGACGATGGCCAGAAGCAGGGAGGGCCTTTGTCTGTGTGTCTGCCCACCCCCCCTCCGTGTTGTGCTGTGAGGGTGCAGGATGGTGTGGCTCCAGTCAGGCTTGGGTGTGCCGACTCCCCCGCCTCAGGGAAGCAGCCCCCAGCGGCAGGGTGAAGAGCGGCAAGCTGCTCTGCCATTAAACTCACCACCATCCAGGGGCGCTCTGCTCATCTGTGCCTCTGCCCTAGTGGCTGCCCCTCCCACCTGGCCTGCCCAGCTCAGGGGCTCGTGTGCTCCCCCACCCCACTGTAACCCCACCCCCTGTGTTGTAGAGCTACCTGTGCTTCCCGCCCTGCACTGCCACCCTCCCCACTAGCCATCCCTGCCCTGCCCTGTCCTGTCATGGGGACCGGTGGGCGGCTGCGCCGGAGGAGCAGAGACTGTCCTGGGGGACAAGCACGGAGCTTGTCGGCCAAAGGCAGGGCCTGGGCCATGTGTGTGTGTGTGGACAGGACAAGCAGCTGGGGCCGCCTGGCATCTCGTTGGCTCCTGGTCCACTGGCCTCCCTGATGCCACGGGCTGGAGAGCCACACTCCGCCCAAGCCTGGTCCTGCTCTTTAGTCTGATGGGGCAGGGCCCCTGTTGCCTCTGGGGCAGGGAGGGGCTGGGACTGGACTGAGCGGAGGCTGCCCCGGGGCCTGCGCTTTCCCTCTTGCCCTTTTGGTGTCTGGGGCTGTTCCCGGGCATAAATAAAGTCGTGTGTGAGAGCAGCGGAGACGGAGGGGCCTGTCTCTCCCGAGTGGGGTGGGTGTATGGGCCAGCCTGTCTCAGGAGCAATCTGAACACCAGCTCCTCTCAGGCAGACGTCCCCCTTGGCCACTGCCGCCTCCTCCCCAACCTTTGGGCCATCATAGGGCCTTGGCTCCTGCCCAGCAGCCTTCTGTCCAGGCCAACTGGGCTGGTCCACTGGCCAGGCTTGGCCATGGACTTGGCCAGCCACAGTCAGGAGTTCCAGGGCTGATGTTGCCCACATGATCCTGGGGAGGAGTTCCTCCCTACCTTGTCACTGTGTGAAGGCAACACAGTTGACCCTCATCATCTCTCACCCAAATCAGTATGGACATGTGGCCCACAGGGTGAGGTTCCCTCCAGGGCTTTTACGGGGTTTGTCCCAGGCAGTTCAAGTCCAGCTTTCACAGATGAAGTCTGACAGCATCTGGGAGGAGCTCCCAGGAGCCTGCCTCAAGGTCTCTGGCCTCGTGGCTCCTCCCACCAGGTCACGTGGCCCCTGTTCCCCTGAGGTAATCTACGCATGCTCCAGCTCCACAACAGAACCCCCAAAGCAAACTGTCATCAATCATTTAGACTCTGGCCTTGCAGTAAGACTGGACGTGCCGGCTGGGTTTCTGAAGCCTTAATATCTTGATGGAAGTAGACCGTCTGTCTGCAGAATGGCAGGCGAACTGGAGCTGCCATCTTTTAAGCACTGTGACCTCAGGCTCCTTACTACCCACAGCCGCCTCTACCTCAATGACAACAGCCCTGCAGAGCCTGGTCCTCCGACCCTTCACTCCTGTGCTCCCTGCAGTGGAGGCTTCTGGCTGCCCGGCCAGACCTGCGACCTTCAGACCAGCCTGTGAGATCCAGCCTCACAGCCAGATGGGGCCAAAGGGGCAACTGTGGAATTGAAGGAAAGAAATGGCAATAAAAGATGTACGAGCTCCCAATAAAATGATAGAAAAAGAAACACATTTTGGGGAGCTCACCTCTGCCATTGTTTTAGGAACCAGGTTCACACAGAATGTATTCCCAACATCAGCTAATAGACTTACAAACCGCCCTAATTACAGGTAACCGCAAAAGTAACAAAGTAGACCCTAGAAGGCCCTAAGTTCATTGGAGGAGTAACCTAACACCAGGCCTGGGCCAGTAGGGGGAGTAACTGCCCCCTGAGCAAGGAAAGCAATGGCAACAGGTCTGCTCCTATAGATAGAGCTGTGGCCAGGTAGCTACCAGCCCGGTGCTTGTAAGCGTTAACTAAGCACTATTATAGGAGGATATTGGGGGGTGGGGTGTCAATATGATGAGAATGATTGGGGCTCACCTCTAACTCGTAAGTGTGAAGGCCTCACTCCACCCCAGAATCCTGGCCTGCCAGGCCTTTTAGAGAATAAAGAATGCATCCACACTTCCTGACCCTCTCCCCACACTAGCCCAAGGTTCTGGTTTCTGACAGGCCAGCTCCTGGAGGTAGGAAAGCTTTGGGGGGCCTTTGAACTTTGCTGCTGCTTGAGAAAATGTGGAGCTTTCAGAATTCCTCAGACTCAAAAGTTTACGCAACTCCCTAGACCTCTGTGTGCCCTAAAACCTGAAGAGACACCCCAACATTATACATGCTTCAGGTCTTTGGGAGCCCTGATTCTGAGTTGGAGATAGCTGCCTAGGCTGGACCCACTGGGCTAGGAGGGCACTTAACCTAGACTAACACCAGGAGGCCTGGTCAGCAGAACTGCCAAGGACCACGTGAACCTAGAAATCACTCCCAAGGCCGAGGTAGGGTAAAAGGACAATGCTGCGGTGTAGCACACCAGTCAGAATATGTTAATTAAGGTGGTCCGACTAACAGCCACTGAGAGCAGACTCATTCTGAGATGTGCTTTAAACCTTGAGCCCAATCTGCCCTCTGAAGTTGACCTTTTAGCAGAAAAGCAGAGTGACAAAATACAAGCCAGTGCCCATCAGATTGGTGCTCAACCAACAAACTACCTGTAAGAATGAGTCAAGAAAGTCAACCTCAAATTGAAAGATGATGAACTAGAAATGGAGCAACCAGAACACAGGCTATTGAGCCCGTCTGAAGAACATAAAGTAACGTCATCAGTCAGTTTGTGTGGAAAATGTCAAGCAGGGACCTAACTCATTGTAAACACCAAAAGTAAGTCAATGTTCAGAAGAGAAAATGCTTCACGGTTGCGTGCTCAACATGTTGAGTGGAGAGTTTCAGCACAATGCTTGAATTTTAAAAGCTAAGCAACCTACGTTTAAGCATCTGTACATCAAACTAACTGCCCAGCTGGCCAGTCGATTCCAACTCTATAGGACAGAGGAATGGCTTCTTAGGGATTTTGAGGCTGTAATCTATAGGAGACTGCCGCCTCTTTCTCACGAGGAGCAATTGGTGGGTTGGAACCACCAACCTTTTGGTTAACAACCCAGAAATTAACCCACTGTGCCGCTACCAGGACTTCTAGTATGTGTTAATAGTAACACCAAACTCACTGCCATCGAGTCAATGCTGACTCAGCCACCCCCTCCTCCCCGGGGATTTCCAAGACTAACTTTATGGGAGAAAACTCAGGTTTGCTCCTTTGGAGCTGCTGGTGGTCTTGAATTGCCGACCATGAGGATCGCAGCCCAACACGTAGCCACTACGCCACCAGAATGATAAATCTTATTGTTCAGGATGGAGTTAGTCTGGAGGTGACAAGGGACAGGGATGGGACCGCTAGAGGGCGTGCTGAACAGTCACGGTGGGAAGCAAGGTTGGGAGTGACCCACGCCTGCACCCAAGATCCTTACTTCTTAAAAGGAGGAATTAGATGATTGGTGTCTCTTTGAACATTTTATTGTGGCTTGGGGCCAAAGTGGATAACACATTCGTTTCCCATTCAACAATCTGCACGTTTTGTCTTGTGACACTAGTTGCAGTCCCTCAATGCCCCTGCCCTTGGGTCACTTTTTCCCTGGGCTGCCTGTTTCCATTCCTCTATGTCCTCCTTGCCTCTGAGCTTTGGCTTCTGTGGCTGGTTGTTCTCAGGGAGAACATTCCTCACAGGTGTGACAGTTCACTTAATTAGAAAAACAAAAAATCAAACTCACTGCCATTGAGTCATGCTGACTCAAAGCAACCCTTTAGAACAGGGTAGAACTGCCCCTCCGAGTTTCTGAGACTAGCTCTTGATGGGAGTAGAAAGCCCCATCGTTCTCCTGAGGAACCTCTGGGTGGTTTCAATCTGCCGATTTTATGGATTGCAGCCCAATGCATAACCACTAGGCCACCAGTGATCTGTTTATTTACTAGGCCTATTGTTTGGCTAAAAGCCAATCTCTGGGAGTGGGTTCAGTTCCAGGTTTGAAGGGCATCCAAAGGCCAGAGTCTCAGAGATTCTACCAGCCTCCATCTGACCAAGAGACAAGTTTGGTTTTATAGTTTTTAATTTTATTCTACATTTTTCTCTTATTCTGTTTAGGACCTTCTAGGAGAGCACCTGGCACCCCAAAGAGAACACGAATCATAAAGGAAACTTGCCTATTTCAAAATACAAAGTGAAAAACAATGCAAAAAACCCCAACCCTCCTACGAGTCAAAAGACAAAGTGATAGACTAGAAAAAAGGCATTGTATAGAAATAGGAAATCAACATTAGTGTTGAGAATATATTTTAGTATATTATGTATGTATATACATACATATATACATCAATTAGTGTTGAGAATTGAACAAAGGATTTGAACAGGCAATTCATAGAAGAGAAAATCTGAAAAGCCAACACACACACACACACACACACACATAGAATCATACCAGCAGCAAACACACTGGCATACAGTCATCAATTAAAATACAAATACAACACCACTGTCTCAGAGACAGCAGACCATCTCAGTTCACATGAAGAAACCAGGCACAGCATGCCACACCCCAGAGGAAACTGTTTCTCACTTAATGATATTGGGGCTGTGATCAGAATGCTGGAACTGCATTCCACTGTATGGAAGAGATCCATAATTGTGCCCATGTCAAAGAAAGGTGACCCAAGAGAATGTTCAAGCTATAGAATGATATCACTGATGTCACACACATGTAGAATATTGCTGAAGATCATACAATGGTTGCAGCAGTACATTGACAGGGAGCTGCCAGAGGTTCAGTCCGGATTCAGAAGAAATTGGAACAAGGGGTATCAAGGCTAATGTCAGATGGATCTTGACTCAAAGCAGAGAATGCCACAAAGATGTTTACTTGTGTTTTATTGACTGTGCAAAGGCATTCGACTGTATGGACCATAATAAACTATGGATAAGATTGAGAAGAATGGAAATTACAGAATACTTTGTTGTGCCTATGAGGAATACATGGATCAAGAGGCAGTTTGTGCAAGCAGTGACTGCTGGGTCCAAGGTCAAGGAAGCAGACAGCTGAGTCTTCCATAGGGCAATGCAGGAAGTCCACCCACAGGCAGCAAACAGCAGGGCAGGTCACCAACAGCCTCAAGATGACAGGATCCTACAGTCCCAAACTCAAGCAATGTATACACCAGTAGCATGGCGAAGCAGGTCTTGAAGAAATGTCAAATTCTAGCGACATGATCCATGGGTTGGCAATCCCACAGGTAGTGTAGTTCACAAGTTGAGGCAGAGAACTAGCAGCCACATGCTGGTCTGATCACCAGAGAGAAAGAGAGGCAGGGCTTGCTCAGCCATTTATCTCTTTGCCCTCCAATCAAATTGTGACCTGATTAATCCCACCTGTTCCTATTGGCCAGATTGGCACAATAAACCTACCTATCACACCACCTGTTCAGTCTGTGTGTGTCCTCATGAAGCTACTCATAGGTTTTCTTTTCTTTTTTTTTTTAATCATTTTATTAGGGGCTCATACAACTTTTTTTTTTTTTTAACATTTTATTAGGGGCTCATACAACTCTTATCACAATCCATACACATATCAATTGTGTAAAGCACATTTGTACATACATTGCCCTCATCATTCTCA